TTTTAACATTTTAAGTGTCTGCAGGGCAAACGAATAATAAACAAACAATTTTTTTGACTAATTATTCGTTTTTAGACATATATAATCGATCTCCAATGTACGCGAAAGCTAATCAATTAGTATGAGTTATNGCGCGGCTGGTCACTTAAAGCGCCCAGAGTCACCTAAATCATACGATCTTTTGTAACATCCGCCTTAGTTTCGGTCAGTCACACAGCCCCAGCCCTGTGTTTCTCACTAGGCTAATAAGGCTGGTGACAGCCGCTTTGTTGTAAGTCCTCTGGTTCCAGGAAAGCCTAGCCCCAGATTTTATAGCGACGGAGTGCTAATAGGGGGCATTCACATAAGAAGTGGATGAAGCCCTCCTTATCGCCTCTGCACAGTCTAGTCTGCATCCCAGCTAATAGCCTGACTAGAGTAGCCGAGGCTGCTTTGCTGTGATGCAAATTTATCTGTACAATACAATGTGCACCCGGGTTGCAGCCATAATGACTACTTTCCTGGTACCTCTATGTACCCTTCTTCGGACTTTCACCACGGTCTTTCGCAAGCAGCTTGACAGTTGCTTTTTGAATCCCGCAGTGCAGTTTGAAGTTGCAGGCCTTCAGAACAGAGAGTGATCGGTCGTCTATCAGCGCAATGAAGTGGGCACTTTTCGCGTCCCTGCTCTCACTGCCCCGAGCGATAACCCACTCTCTGCCCTGCAGTCGTGCATTCTGGTTCTCAAGGAAGCACAGTGCTTATTGAGCGGTTAGATCTGGGTCTTCCACGTGTACCACAACCCTGTGTTTCTTGGGAAGCTCCGAGGCTGCCACCACATGTACAGTAAGCCCAGCTATTTTGTTTTCGTGGAAAAGGCTTTTCAGCCAATTTTTCGTTTCCTCACTAGTGCAGTACGCCATTGCCACACCTTCTCTTTCCCAGACACCGTTGAAGGTGGGTGCTTTCACCCCGTCAGGTAACGCCAGAATGGCCCTCTTCAGGAGTTTCTTCACCTCCGTTACCTCTTCAGTGCCCAGTTTCTGATCCGGATATGACTCCGGCATAACTGCAAACTTGAATGAGCTCGTAGTGTTCTGAGCATATGTGCCCTGATCCTGCGTTCTCATTCTCTTTTCTTTCGGTCTGACTGAGGGGCTTGGCGT